TCAAACACCGGTCTTCCTTCCCATCATTACCGGGGCACCATCACTCCAAAGACACATAAGCTTACACACAGCAATGCCAAGGTTTGTGTGCTTTTCCGTCAATAAGCGAAACATTTCCAAGGAACTCGGTGTTGAAAGCTCCTGATTCCAAGTATCGATTACAGATTGACAACTTTTTTTCAACTCCTGAAAAGAAAAGAATGAAAGAAAAAAAAGACAGAAGCTTTGTAATACTAGACATGTGTTTAACCAATTAATTGTTGTGCTGGTTATTTGTTTAAAATTAAACAGTCTCCCGAAGAACTTCAAGAGTGGTGACCGGCCTAGGGACTTGACATCTGTGGGTTTTTTTTATTATGCAGTAATATATATATATACAGTAATATATCTCTGATTTGATATGTAATCAGTAATACTTTTGTTTTAAGAGTTATTATATATAAATTATTTAGATATCCTCCATACAAACAAGTTGCAAAACTTAGACATAAACCATTGACAAACTGAAATAAAAATTACCCAAATCTGTTCTCTCGTCCACTATGGCGGAGAAAAACTTTTTTATGTTTTCGACCGGTTCCCTTTGTAAGAACGATGCGTTTGTTTCTTGCATGTCACTCACAGTGACCCAGCTTAGATTTGTCAAGTTCAAGCAAAGAATTCATTTTGTCAGATGGTACATTTTCTTTGGCTGCAAAATAAACAGCTCGGAACACGATCTGCTCACCACTACTAATAGGAGTATCTTGGTCAGTTTCCTCTTTAAATCCCCAAGGAAGGGTTTGTTTCCTCTCCTCGACTTTTAATGCCGAGCAATGATCGATCGACATTTCGTGACGGAACAAAGCACTTTTCTGTATGTTCGTACAAGCCTTAGTGAATGTATTGTCTTTTTTTCCCTGACAGACAGCGTACACACCTAAGTACTATTACGTTTAAATTTCCGCTTTCTATTTCCGGTTTTTAGCCATTCAAATGTTTTCGACCATTCGTTCATCTTTCCCTTTGAAATATACATGTGATGTCTCTTACTCTTTAAAGCAACAGCATTGGCGATTTTCTGAAGTTTTCATAATTTGGCCGGGGGGAAAAAAACCACTAGAAAATCCAAAGAGCGACGTTTGCTTCGCCATGTTGAACAATTATTCAGAAGAATGTGGGACTTTCTATCAAAAGTGACCAAGAACTCAGTGGATTGCGAATGGATATCTTTAAAGCGCTTGGAAAGTATACTTATTTGCAAGTGATACAAGCGTATTACGCTAAGGGTTAAACTTCGAACCGGCACTGGAGTGATTATCCGTATTTAAAGCTCGGTGGACACATATGGTGCGTGAAACGTTCTTATAGGGTGTTATTTTCACGCAATCAATTGCAATTCGTTGACTTTTCTGTCCGAATTTATGCGTGAAACACGCAACCACTCATCCTATCTGGAGCACTGCTATCTGTATCATATGCATTCTGTAAGCAGATCGAACACGCCATGCAACTTCGGTCCGTTGGCTGGTTATTGCTCAAATCAATACGGTCGTTCAATCAGAATTTGGTCAGTTCAAGTTGCACCTTTCAAAAGTAACAGTCTTCTGAGTTTAGCTGGTAAATATCCCGTCTCAATGTTTGACGCAATTTCGCTGTTTTCAAATATGGATTTAACAGTGCGTGCGCAAGATGATAACGCCACGAAGCAGACGGATAGTCACAAAGGGGGGGAAATCAAAATCTGGATACTTACGTTTTCGTTATACGAGGCACGAGATTAATGAATCGATGTCATATATTCAATTGATATGAAAAGATTATATATATAAGTGCATGACATTTTCACTATGTTGAATTTACTTCAAACTTTATAATCAATTTTATGTAAGCGACACGAGTATGTGGCTGATAACGTTACATAATTATTAATATTTACACATTTTCCTGGGCTTAGTTAGTCATGGATCATGGCATTTATAGTCTATTTGATCACGTTTTGTAACCATGTTATCAAAAGATATATATGTTGAACAGATCGTCGTCAATTCCAGTTTCAGATGAACTAGTGAAATAAATCGACAATGCCTCAATATCATATTTCAACAACATTTTAACGTAGCGACCAAATATCATCTTGCCTGCTAAGTACCTTTTACTTTCTAGCGCCTTGCTAGGCAATACTCTGTCACCGGTTGCTCGGTATTTGTCACCGGTTGCTAAGTGTTATACAATAACTCGGACAAGTTGTTTCAAGTATATCTCTTTTCTTTATAATCTCCGAGAAACCTACAATACAGGACAATACAATAAATACATTCACTCTCTCATATACATACAATAAATACTACACAACTTCCGCGCCGACCGAGGTACCGGACCTCTGAATAGAGACCGCTGTAAATATAGTAATTCTAATAACTAAATGTTATAACCACACGATAGTTATTATATAATACGGTTATACATACCGGGTATGCTGTCCCTAGCCTGCTGATACATGCTGGCGGCAATGTATCTGTACGCCCTCTATATAATCAATGGCTCGGCTCTATCAGTAATCTGATCCGTCTCTCTCGAGTCGGATTGTAAGAATGACCACTGGGCAGTAAGTATCTACCCAGTAGCCAGGATATAGTGGCGGGAATATAGGGTGCTTTATTCGTGCAATGGGCAGGTCCAAGGTCTACGTCGTAAGTACAATTCAGTCAGAATGTTGAAACAGAACATAACAACACAGGTACATGCATTCCGAACTAATGACGTCACATACACTGTTTACGAGACGGGACAACACACGTGTATACACACAGTTGACAGCACTCGTTGTATATATATACACACACCATATATATATATATATATATCATATTATATAACCGAGGGTAACAACTCTTTTGGCTTTAATGTTGAGCGTTGGCCAATGCGAGGAAGGCAATTGCTTCTGTCCCAAGGCCAGGACATATCAAAGTCTTCAAAAATGGTAGTTGCTAGTCCATGCCTAAATTCAGCATTAAGGATGATAGCAACAACTGGTTCACCCGTTGTCAGTATAATGTGACCGGGCGGAATGATGTGTTGGGTGCCTTCAGCATAGCGTTTCAGTGAGATGACATCCGATCCGCGCTATCACAAGGAGGCAAATACGCCAACATACCCCATTAACACATGCACGCATACATAATACACGGAGGCACGTCATTTCATGACCTTAGCTGTTAGAAGAGCATTAAGCAAAATAAAACCGAAAGCCTCCTTCACTTGAGTCAGGTATCTTATGTGTTTGTTCCTTTTTGGTATACTCGCCACTAACTCTCTTGTGTTATCAAACTTTCCGTTCTCGTGCGCCCGACTAGATTGTCCAATCTCCGACAAATCAGAGTTGAACCCGTGCTGGACCTTAGTACCCTCAAACTTCCACTTGTAAGAATGTTCAACAATCAACTTTTTAACCTGGATAGCCACGTTGGCGGTCGATCCTTTCACCTCGTCCTTGAGCTGAACTTAGTCCTGGCGTAAACTTGTATTAATTGCAGAAATATTATTTCCTTGAATATGCACAACATGTCATATGTCTGTCAAACGTATCTAAGCTCTCTGTGGTTCGTTTGTCCGTTCGTTATCCGTCTCTGCCATATACAGAACTGCTTACTAAAACTAAATATGAGATGACAGTTTGATACTTTGGCGTTTTTTACCCTGTCTTATCCCATGGAGCGGCGCCCAAATGGCGTCATATAGCCAGAAATTTTAACAGTCATCTTCTCACCACTGAGATAGGTTAGAAACAATACTTATCAAAATTGTGCATTCCGTGACCCTCATACGCCATGTTTGTCCCTGGGGAGGGGGCGATGTTTACTATACTTTATAAAGGAAAATGATACTTTTGGGTATGTTTGGTTCATTTTCAATTGTAATTTATTCGAACTTGACAGACATTATAACTATGAAACGATTGTTTGATACTTTGACAGTTGGGGCCCGGGCCCGCCCCCAAGGGCTGAGGGGCGGGGCTAAAAGGGGTCAAATTAGCTTAAATTATAAAATCTTATCCAGACCAAGATATGCTAGAAACAAATAATCTACATAGATAGAAGGATCTTAAAGCACTTTATCCCCTGGAGATGGGGTAAAGTTTACTATAGTTATATAGAAAAATGATACTTTTGGGGAATGTTTAGTTCATTTCCAATTGGAAATCTTTGAAACTTGATAGACATTATAACTTCGAAATGACAGTTTGATACTATGACAGTTTGATTCTATGACAGTTTGGGTTTTGGCCATCTTGGAACTTTCTCATCATATCAACTGGTGTTACATGTAGATGATGTAGTCAACTCACAATTTTGTTGTATTTCACCATTTAGTTGTATGTAATTTATGTTCAGTATAAAAACATGCAAAGCTTCCACATGGCAAGTTACATTACACAAAAACTCTTCATTGTTGAATCAATATATTAAGATATTTGATAGGACAACTGTTTCCTTTTTAGCCAGTAACGTTACTCAAATAAACCAAAGAACGTTCTACTGTAATAGGAAAGAAAGAATTGGAAAGATGAGGTGCCCCAGCTGGGATCGAACCCACGACCCCAGGTTACGGAGGCCAACGCTCTACCACTGAGCTAAAGGGCCATGTCCTGTCAGCTGACTCACAGAACCACTATTTGTACATAGTACATATACTACCCAGATCTTTCACACTACTTTTGCATTACATGTAGTTCAAGTTACCTTTGTTACAAAATGATTTCTTTTTCATTTGGCAACATCGATAACATCAGTTTTTACACAAATCAGGTGACCGTTTAGGCCCATGGGCCTCTTGTTTCATTTGCAGTTGACATTCATATTGATGATGCTTAAACAAGCGTTCCTTTAGTGCGTTTATCTGTGTTCTATAGAATTAACTAATTTGGTGACGCTCGAAATAGGTGATGCCAATTTAGTTGTGATAATACAGAGGTAAAGCTCGGTAAGGGGAGATTAATGTTTCAAATATTTTGGTCGGCAGTCTACCTTCCTGTTTATTGATATGTTATATCATAGTAAAAATTAACAATACAAAACGATAACGCAGCCTAGAAAGTCTCAATAATGGGTAACCTTTATTCATTACTTAAAAAATGACATAGAAAAAGGTAGCACGTCGTCCGTACACAAGGACATGAGGCTATACACGGAGTAACGAAGACACTGAAAAAGTAATGACATTACTTTCGAACCAATGAAAAGCACACAATGTAACCAGTAAAAGTTGTACGAATACGCATAGGACACTTATATACACTAAATGAAAACTAGGTTTTCAATCAGGAATGTTTTTGACCTATAACACAGTATTTGTGTTGACATTGTAGTAGAATTCGAAATCGGGACGCAAAAGAAAAAACACCGCTTAAAAGGTAATCATTATTATTGCATGCCTAACGGCCCATCTACGAAGTAATTCGGGCCAATAAATAGTCGATAAAAAATATAAAAATCAATGAAATCAAAGAAAGGCAGAGGTAACAAACGAATGAACATGTTCATGTAGGAATGCGAGCCCTCTTGCAAGAGGACACTACATCGTAAAGAGGCTGACCCCGCCCCGACAGCCTTCAACTATATTTGATGGGGGAATGAAAATGATTTTTGAACAACACATTAATATCAAAAGCGCTATGCTGATCATATCGTGTCTTCAATCTTTTTTCAAATCACCAACTGTCTTCAGTTTTAAACTATAAGAATGCTTTACAGGAACTCGCTTGCTGATAAAGACTATACTTTGAATATCAAAAAGCTATTTCATGAAAATAATCCATCATTGAGATCAACTTTATTCTTTTCTTCTTTTCTAACAAAATTAACAATTAATAACATAATCTTATATGTTGGCGCAGTTGATAGCACATTCGCCTTTCACCAAAACGGCCGGGGTTTTGTTACCTAATGTGAAAAGGTATGGGTCACCTGTCACACCACGTGTGTTTTTTTCGGATTACTCCGGTTTCCTCTGCAAAAAGACCCTCTGCGCTAACATCCGGGCCAACAAGATTGATTAAACATAAGTTAACATGACTTTTTTCATAATTGTTGTAAAATAAGTTCAGCAGATATATAACAAAATAGTAATCAAACGACTCGCATTGAAAAGTATATTATTTATACACACGTATAACATAATGCATTGTAATATATAAAACTTATCCATTCTCCTCCAAGACAGCAATGAACTTGAGTATGAAGTATAAATATTATGCTTGACATATATGGGCAGTATTCATGGATTAAACCGTTCTCTAGCTAAAATACTGATTCTGTTTTCAAGCCCTATTTTCTAGTACATACCCTGCTTCCGGCACACATGCACGGCGCACGTGGAAAACGTCCTTTTATGACCTTAGCTATTGATAGGAGGTTAAACCTAGTAACAACCGAAATTGTAACCAACATATTTCTTGTTCCGTCGATAAATGTCTGAAACATTAAGTTTTGTCGAACATTTGGAATAAATATAAAGCAAATAGAAGACAAATAGCGTTTTCCATGTTAACCCTTTACTTTTTGGCCGTGTATATGATTTAAGCGGATCCCGCATTACTTCCATATTAATATGCATCATTATACGATATCGGCGACATCAATTTTATCAGTAATAAATGTTTAGATAACGAAAAAGTATTGTGCACTCCGCTATCAGGAATCAATAGTATTGCGTTATACACAGAAACTATGGAATCGTGATACTAGCTTCAACTGGGTAGGACTAACAACAGGAACGTTCCGGTGATAGCTACAAGTCTCGGGTAAGTATAATGTATTTTCGACGATTGTTTTAGGCTTGAAACAGACTTTATTACTAAGCAGTAGCATGATTGATAAATGTCGACCATGGTGTAATTAATTACTCTTCGCCAAATTTGATTGATGTAGTTTCCAACTCACTCACTAAATTGGTTACTTGTACCAAACTTTCCTAAATCCACAAAACGTTCAATCAAAAGAGGACGTCGCTGTATTCTGTCTGCTTAGCTCCACCCGTAATGACCATAGGCCGAGAGTGGCTATGATGCTGGGGCGTGTATACTGGGTTGGATTTTAGTTGACTCATTTCATGAACGCTAGGTTTTCTATTTGATTCATCCGACATATCGCGCAGATATCCGAAATTATTTTTGTGTGTTGATCGTGGATCTTGCTCTGTCATATCTATGAAACTGTTCCTGAAATTATTTTGGCTGGGTTTATCGAATGTAAACATAGTCGCTCTTGACGGCAACGGGTCGTAGCGATTGCCTTCGTTCAAGCTGTTTAACCTATCGTTTGAAGTATGTCCAATTTCACGCTGTGGAAATCCATTAGGTACATGTCCGTTTTCACGAGATGAAGATCCTAGACGATGTTGTTCATTTCGTGGCACAGAGTTAGATGGAACATGTTCCTTCGATATATGTGTGCTGTTCTGCGGACGTTCTTTGCCAGACCAGTTCTTCTGCACTTTTGCGTAGTCATCATGTCGCCCTCCCGATGGAAACTCGTTCTGAGATGTTAGACTCATGAAATCACTCTCAGATCCTTTTTCAATGTATTGGTAGTTATTGTCACTAGCATACTTTGAGGATTTTATTATCAAGACCTCGTTGGCAAGAGACGTCAGGTGTGTATCAGATGTGATGACGTCACCGGAAGATAGCTCTGAAATCTCGATAGGATTCGGGAGTCCGTGAGACTTGGCCGCTGAAACAATAAGAAACATATTTTTAGCGCGTATTTGTAAGCTACTTTTTGCACATTGGGTAATTGTAAATCCAGAATTTAAGAAAGGAGGCAGCAGAGCATTGTTTCCACACACACACACACACACACACACACACACACACACCTTAGCGGAAAACACACACAACAAGACCCTCAACTGCAGCGTGCTCATCTAAATTACCTATTACCAGAAACCAGGCAGTGAGATCTTTACCAGAAACAGCAGTATCACTAACCTTTGATATGAAGGTCGGCAAGATTCCTTGCAAATACTACCAGTTTCAGCATATGATCACTTGACCAAACCTTGAACATCCTGTAAGTGATAACGGTTATTTCAGTATAAATATTAAACAAAGTGTAAATTGATGGAACATATACAAGTAATAAAACAATGTATTAATTCGACGGAACAAATATAAATAATAAACAATGTTATAATTTAACGGAACCTATATAATTATTAAACAATTTTTTAATTCGACGGAACGCTCATGTCAAAATATACGAAACACTAACGATTATCGTTTATAAGATAAAAGATCATGTGAAAGTATTGCTGAAGCAACACACCTTTATCGTTCGTCCCTGCAGGTAGGGCGTAAGAATTGTACCTGCTGCCCCCGGTGTATGATCGTAAGAGGCGACTAAATTTGGATTCTTATCTTTTTCTCATCTTTCTAAACATTTTTTTTCTTCCTATTGTCTCCCTTGACAATGCCTCACTTTTGGCCTTTAGTTGAGCGTTCGCCCCTGTGATGAAGGCTTTGAATTCTGGCCCCTGGCCGAGACATACAAGAGTCTGTAAAATTGGTAGTTTCTACTCCTGCTTGACGCTCAGCAATTTAGGAGTGGACCACTGGTTCACCCGTTGTCAGTATAATGTGACCGGGTGGGGTGTCTTCGGCAGTATGTTTCAGTGAGGTAGCACTATAAAGTCGGCATCAGTTCTGCGCTATCACAAGGAGACAAACACGAACATATCGCAGCCTCCCAAAACACACACGCATACACTACACGCATGCATCTTGCACACAGGTGAGGCCGTCCTTAAATGACCATAGCTGTTGATAGGACGTTAAACAATACTAAACCAAACCAAACCAAACGTGAAAACAACAACTTACATGCTGTCACTGACGCTATTACGTACACTGCTCCTGTCGATGCTGGGCAAGGTATACACTGAAGAAGGGTTGGACGGACTTGACGGGGAAGACCAAGTACCACCTTGTTCTAGAAGCATTATTGTACTCTCGACAAATGCAAACAATACGTGTTGGTCAATAAGTGTTCCGTCCGACTCTGAACAGGCGCGTGAGGGCAGATAACCAAACACCAGTTGACCTACAAACAATACAATGCTTCAACTGAATTTAAAGGTTTGAAATGATACATTTTTAAATTGTGTGTAACATACCGGCTTTTAGTGTTGTAGTTGTCATCTGGGAAAGGTGTACATCACACCAAAGCATAAACATAAATATACAATAAATAGATACAAATATGTTCTACCTACACATACTGTATAACACGAAATGTTTTTGGGTACATGGTTTGAAGCCATTTAGATCGTTTCGTGGTACAAACTTTCGTGGATATCCTATATTACAAACAGAAAACACATATATCATCAAATTTCGTTTATATTTATTTTCATGGTTCAATAGCAACCACGAATGTTTCTACACAACGAACATAATGTTAAACAGTAGACGTATTTTGCACAAAAATAAACGTACACTACAAATATATAATTGTACACGATATTGGCTTAAAACATAGCTATGATGTCATTCATTGATGACTTTTTACTTTGACCGAGGGTTTTGAAGACTTTACCTGTAGCTGGTGTATATAAGACCTTACAATTGGACAGTCAGATACATGTATAAAATAACAAGAGATAAAACCTCTTCTAACCCTCCGTCATAGTACAGGTGCAACAATATTGGTACCAGCTAAGTAAAAAGCACAGAAAATACGGAAATATTGAGCTGATAACTTTATTGCAGGTAAAAGGTATATTCTAACATAATAAGCAAGGGAAGCTAATAACTATATTACGGGTTTTTTGTATATGCGATACGACACAATTGCTCTAACCCATATCAGCCCTTGCCGTATCACCCCCCAAACCCCGTATCACCCCCCGCCGTATCACACCCCAAAACCCATATCAGCCCGCAAACCCCATATCACACCCCATTTGGAAAACAAATCGTTTTTCAATATTTCAAAAATTAAAATAAATCATAAGATAGTAGTTTTTATTTGTAAGTATGTAATAAACAGAATAAAACACGCCTTTTTCCATATCACACCCAGTATCAACCCTCGACAATATTTTCCTTTACACATACTTTTAACCCTTTTGAAGGGATAACTTATAGAGCTAACATGCTCAAGCTAAACCTCATTTTTGCGCTTATAGGACTTAATGGATGGTGGTCTTTGTCCGGTTTTCTCGACTACTAACTGTTCGTCTACACCGGCAGCATATAGTCGCGTGGCATCTTTTTTGAAGCGGTGTGGGTCAAATGTGTTAAAACCTTCAAACGACGATAGCCTAAGAAGCATTTGGTTTACAATCATGATACTTAGGTATGTTATGTAGACCAGCAGTGCGAATCTCTTTCTTTATTACAGTAACGAGGTCAAATGTCAACTTTAAGTGCCAGCCGGAGTCTGAGACTGAGAAGCGTTTAAGAGATGTTAAAATGACTTGTGTTCTAGTTACCAAATTTGGTCTGAAGTTACCTATATGTCAGTTTCATGTAACAAAAGAAACAGGTGAGCGATACAGGCCCTCTGGGCCTCTTGTTGTACACTACAACGAAATAAATATACGCTACATAGATATAAATAAACACCACAAAGACATAAATATACACTACATCATATACACTGCATACATATAAATGTATACAACATAGATATAAATGTACACTACGTAGATAAAAATGTACACTTCACAGACGTTAATGTACACTACATAAAAAGGGTCTATTTTATAGACATAAATGTACACTACATCGATAAATGACTCAACATCGATATAAATGTACACTGCATAGATATAAATTTAAATACAAAGATTTATTTACATTTGCGCTGCAACCCACTGTATGAACATTACCAGCAGAAATGCTTACCATTTTAGTATGAAAGCAAAATCTCTCGGACGTTACAGGTGGTTTACTTACGACGTCGTATTTTAACCTTACTCAATGAGAGTCTTGTCGCTTCGCTTTGGATAACTCGGAAAATGTGTTTCCGTCAAACGTTCAAATGACAACGTTTATTATTGACGCCAATTTTATTTAAATATGGCTGTTCCGTCAATGTCGTTTTAAAAGACAACGCATATACAAAACGCAGTTAATAAATTAAATATTTAAGAACAATGAAATACAACTAAACAATTGTTCTATAGTAAAAATGTGAATATATGGATTGGACGGCGTTTTTTAAATGTTCATGCCGGTATGAACGCAAATCGGTTACATCCATATTGCATGAAGCCCTTAAAAAACGCCGTTCAATCCCTGAATAAATGTTTCAACATAAATATAGACGAACACTGCATATACATAATGTATACTCGCCACACAGATATAGATGTACACTAGATATAGATATACACTGAATGGTCACAAACGTAGATTAAATAAACATTACATCGACATAATTGTATAATAAAAAGATACCGAAGTTTTCTAAATATACATGTGTTAGTGCATATTACATATTTAACCTATGAAACAAGGCTTGTCATAGCACGAATGCGTTATACCTTGTCTGTAAAGGTCACGCAGATCGGTGGCCAGAATCAGCTTTCTCTTAGTCCTATCTTGGTTACAAACATCGAACGTCAAACTGTCAACATAGAGCAACAAAAAACATATTTTAAATAAATTCATATTTTTTAAAAGAAGCGTGATTCATATTAATAATGTATGTTGTTTTTTCTTGTTTTGAAATCAATTTATCTAAATATTAAACAAATCCCATTTTTACAGTGTGAAATTATTTAAGTTCTTTACTGCTGCGGGTCTTGTGTGATAAAAAAACGTACAAAAACGCCATTACTAAAAGAGTTACAATTCATCAATAATACCATGTGTACAACATTGCTGTAATCTGTGGTACATTAACTTTTCACTAAGCAAGACTGATTTGTGGCTGTTCGTTCTAACTAAGTATTGATAACACTATCCTCAGATATATAACACGTTCTTAATCTCGACAAATTCAGCTTTAGACTGGAAATACTAAACTTAACAGTAGTGTTGTATAAAACCTTACCTACCCAAACCTTAGGTCCTACTCTTCCTTTGCTGTCAACAAACACATACCACAGCGTTAACAAACGGGGCAACTCGAGATTATAACTCGACATAACCAGGTAACATCAGGAGCTGAGAAAACATCGAGACAAAGGTACCCACATCACAAAACCCCGTAAACACCGGAGATGAAACCAGGTGATCAGGAATGGTTAACGTTCCCTACATGTGGCGACATACCTTGCCACATACCTTGCCATAGTTTTTCTGGCCTTCGCGAACGCAAAACAGCACTCATATTGTGGCATTATTCTGAACCCTTAACATTCATTAATACTTGGTTTGGTTTTTATTTTGTGTATCGTTCTATTAACAGCTTATGTGATTTAAAGACGTGCCTCCGTGTGTGTAGTGTATGCGTGCTTGCGTGTGTGTATGAAGGAAACAAGGTATGTTGGAGTGATTGCCTCCTTGTGTTTGCGCGGATCTGATGCCGACTTTATAGTGCTATCTCACTGTTAAACCATGCCGAAGGCACCCAGAACAGCATTCCGCCCGGTCGCAATATACTGACAACGGGTGAACCAGCTGTTGCAATTACCCTAAATGCTGAACGTTAAGCAGGAAATAACAACTACAATTTCAAGGACATTGGTATGTTCCGGCCTGGGAACAGAGCCCATATAAACGAACTAAAACGTGTTTTGGTTAATAGGGGAATTTAGAAGTAGCATTAGTAATGATGGATGTTGTTGTTCGTCTAAACGCCCATCAATACTGTTGATATTGCGATCTCTATTGATGTGGTAGTACATTATATAGTCTGTTCCTTACAACTCACAAACTAAACAAAAAACCTGTAGGACAATACAAAAGTAAGTGTAACATCCGTAATAGATACCGTTTGTCGTCCAAACGACCATCATCACTGTTGATATTGCGGTCCCACCAAAGTTCTCCTTCAGCTAAAGCCATTAATGTCAGATCTGCACATACGTCGAGGATGTCATCAGTATCGACTTCCGTTCCGTCCTCCTCGAGAACGATGCGGGCTATAGATGGTTTCTTGAATGTCCGCGATGCTTTAAGTAATGCGTAGAATGTTAGGAACATTCACTTAAATGTACAGTTGAACGTTGTGAGTAAGGGTTTTGTCGTTTCTTTTAAATCATAAATTCATAAAATAATGTTTTCAATGTTAGTTTAACATTAAGTTCGAAACTGAACTGGCCCTAATGATTCGTTAATATGGTCCTGTTTACGAGGAACATAAAACAAAAACAAGACAAAAACATTACGCTATGGATTTTTGCTACTTTACTGTAGCCAGAGATTGAACAGTTCAAACCTGCACGCATCAGTGACGTCAGTCCATTTGCCTTGATAAATTGTTTTGTGTTTCTTCCGCATGTCCATACTTTAAAGAACCTGGTAAAATAAACATATATGTGCTATCAAAAATAGCACTAACCAAACACTCTATCATGGAATTTGTTTTATCAGTACAGTGTATCCCGTTGGTACAATATCATTATTGACAAGACATTGACGGGAAGTTAATTCAGATATAGTATTACAAAAAATATCATGATGATTGATATTTTTTATTAGGTTTAAATCAAACTCACCTTTTCTGATTTTCTTCTTCGAGAAGTTTGGCAGCTTCTTGTAATTTGCTCCTGTTTAAAAGAATTTGAATTACTTAGTTAATTAGTCCCTCACCGGTTCCCGGGGGGACTATAGGTTTGCACTCCGTCTGTCCGTCCGTCCTTCCATCCAAGAAGTTTGTCCGATGCATAAGTTCTATACTTTTTCACCTGGAGTAACCATATTTGGTGTACAAGAAGATTTTGGGATGGCGGAGTGCAGAGTGCAGGCATTAAGTCACTGTGACCTATGACTTGACCTTTGACCTTTACTTTGAAAAAGGTTTGTCCGGGGCATATCTTCTATACTATTTCACCTGGAGTAACCAGATTTGGTGTACAAGGACATCTTGGGATAGCGAATTTAAGAAGTATGTCACTATATAACTGTCATATAAATTAAGTCGACTTGGTCTGAACTACGTACAAATGTGAACTAATGATCTAGACTTTGTCTTGATAAAAAAAAACTGCAGGCTTGGGGAATATATAACAGATTCGGATGTTTCTTCCGTGTCTGCTCCTTATGGGACATCGAGGAAAGCCAAATAAATCTATTTCAACCATTGCAACACTTTTGGTATGTTGCTTGTATTGTCTTACTTCCCTCCCTTTTTTTCCTTTGTGCCTTCATAGACACACATTCTCCTAGGACCTTAGTTGTTACCAGAACTTTTAACCCATCTTACAAACGTATTTGAGAAACTTTGTCTTCGGTGTAAATTGTGTTATTACGTCTACAAAATACTTTCCGTTACATATGCCAAGCTGAAATATAATTAAGGTCAAAACTATACATTACAATCGCCATGCCCTTCCTCGCTTGACCATTTCTGGTATGGACACCAGGATAAGGACGAAAATACAGCCGGAAATGAGTCCACCAATTATAGTGTCCAGATGCGGGTTGTTTGGTACGGGAGGCGGTGGCCTCGCTGAAAGAATGAAACGGCAGTCAGGTTTTAGTTTATTTTAATTCAGTACTGGAATGGTCGCCTCAAACGATTATATTATCGGATGATTTATTTTTCAAATATCAGCTTTATTAGCTCAACATTAACTCTTGTTGATATCACGTATCACTCTATGTTTCGTGTACAAGTTGCAGTTTTTAAACCCTAGTAAACATGTTGTTGAGAAAAATAAATTGACAGTATAGTATATAATCATGATTGTTTTGTTTGTGTTTTATTTCTATATGCAGGTTGGATGTAACAGAAACTTACCAAAGGAAACACAATAACAAACTGGCTACAGGTCATGTGTTCAGGATGTACAAATCTTAGGATTAGCATACAACTAGAGCAACGACGATCCCGAAATGTTAAAGGTCATTTAAATGGTCAACGAGTCAGTTTATATTGTTGTTTATTTTATTTTATTTTTATTTAGCTTCTTCTTTTAAACATTTTTGACACTATGTCAAAAAGATAAGATTCCGCGATTAGGTATATTTAGAATAATAGTGACCTTTGAACAAATTAACCCATTTTGCACATCTGCATTTCACAGTGTATGACCATGAAAAAATATCAAAAACGACAGACAGGCAGACGCACACATTTTTTCAACGTTCATACTGGTATAAACGTTGAAAAAAACTGTTCAATGACGTTACATATATAGAGGAACTTGCATCGTGTCCATGTTATATTGAATGCATTTAACTCCCTCAATAACTCACCTGAGGCGAGTGTCATATCAAATTATTGAACGAGTTAAATCAATTCATAATGACACGATTGTAGGATTATATCTATCACATAACATTCATTTTTTGAATTGTTAAAAATAGCTTTAACATACTTATGTGTCATCAGCTGACTCTTTAAATGTCAAAATCGAAGTATTGTCGTTATGCGCAGCGCAAAGTAGTTCCGGATTGTTTTTATAAATAACAAAGTGTCTTAACTGCAATGGAAGTACTAATGAAGAAAGAAATAATTCATTCAACAGTCAAACACACTATCAGTGAATATACAATTCACAATTTTGATTAATAGCAGCATCTTAACGTTTTATTACATGTGTGTATTACCATATTTGTGACATGGACGTATAACATAGTGATTGGGTCAGTTGTGTGATTAATTTACATTCTTGCAGTGGATATGTAAATATTTCAATACCTACACATTGAATCTAACTTAAGTGATATGGATAGTTTAAGTGGACATCTGTTAAATCTTAATGTAGTTATGAAGCCATGTTTATTATTTACTGCCAACATTATTAACCTTACTATAATCTGTCGGTCATTATCAGGCCGTACAAGGTAGGACTATCTAGTCCACACTGTGACTATAAAAGAAAGTGTGTAACCCCCTGCCGTTACCGGAATTTCTGTTTTGCAGGGTCACATCGGTAGTTGTCCAATTATCGAACCGATAAATTGAAACACAAGAGTGATTCCCGAACGATAAAGGGTAATGGCAACAACTGGTCCACTCATTGTTAGTATAATGAGACCAGGCGGAACGCTGTGCTTGGAATAAGGCATGGCATTTCAGTTGGGCAGCACTCTAAAGTCGGTATCAGTGGGGCAGCACTCTAAAGTCTGTATCAGTGGGGAAGCACTCTGAAGTCTGTATCAGTGGGGAAGCACTCTAAAGTCTGTATCAGTGGGGCAGCACTCTAAGGTCTGTATCAGTGGGGCAGCACTCTAAAGCCTGTATCAGTGGGGCAGCACTCTAAAGTCTGTATCAGTGGGGCAGCACTCTAAAGTCGGTATCAGTGGGGCAGCACTCTAAAGTCTGTATCAGTGGGGCAGCACTCTAAAGTCTGTATCAGTGGGGCAGCACTCTAAAGTCTGTATCAGTGGGGCAGCACTCTAAAGTCTGTATCAGTGGGGCAGCACTCTAAAGTCTGTATCAGTGGGGCAGCACTCTAAAGTCTGTATCAGTGGGGCAGCACTCTAAAGTCTGTATCAGTGGGGCAGCACTCTAAAGTCTGTATCAGTGGGGCAGCACTCTAAAGTCTGTATCAGTGGGGCAGCACTCTAAAGTCTGTATCAGTGGGGCAGCACTCTAAAGTCTGTATCAGTGGGGCAGCACTCTAAAGTCTGTATCAGTGGGGCAGCACTCTAAAGTCTGTATCAGTGGGGCAGCACTCTAAAGTCTGTATCAGTGGGGCAGCACTCTAAAGTCTGTATCAGTGGGGCAGCACTCTAAAGTCTGTATCAGTGGGGCAGCACTCTAAAGTCTGTATCAGTGGGGCAGCACTCTAAAGTCTGTATCAGTGGGGCAGCACTCTAAAGTCTGTATCAGTGGGGCAGCACTCTAAAGTCTGTATCAGTGGGGCAGCACTCTAAAGTCTGTATCAGTGGAGCAGCACTCTAAAGTCTGTATCAGTGGGGCAGCACTCTAAAGTCTGTATCAGTGGGGCAGCACTCTAAAGTCTGTATCAGTGGGGCAGCACTCTAAAGTCTGTATCAGTGGGGCAGCACTCTAAAGTCTGTATCAGTGGGGCAGCACTCTAAAGTCTGTATCAGTGGGGCAGCACTCTAAAGTCTGTATCAGTGGGGCAGCACTCTAAAGTCTGTATCAGTGGGGCAGCACTCTAAAGTCTGTATCAGTGGGGCAGCACTCTAAAGTCTGTATCAGTGGAGCAGCACTCTAAAGTCTGTATCAGTGGGGCAGCACTCTAAAGTCTGTATCAGTGGGGCAGCACTCTAAAGTCTGTATCAGTGGGGCAGCACTCTAAAGTCTGTATCAGTGGGGCAGCACTCTAAAGTCTGTATCAGTGGGGCAGCACTCTAAAGTCTGTATCAGTGGGGCAGCACTCTAAAGTCTGTATCAGTGGGGCAGCACTCTAAAGTCTGTATCAGTGGGGCAGCACTCTAAAGTCTGTATCAGTGGGGCAGCACTCTAAAGTCTGTATCAGTGGGGCAGCACTCTAAAGTCTGTATCAGTTGGGCAGCACTCTAAAGTCTGTATCAGTGGGGCAGCACTCTAAAGTCTGTATCAGTGGGGCAGCACTCTAAAGTCTGTATCAGTGGGGCAGCACTCTAAAGTCTGTATCAGTGGGGCAGCACTCTAAAGTCTGTATCAGTGGGGCAGCACTCTAAAGTCTGTATCAGTGGGGCAGCACTCTAAAGTCTGTATCAGTGGGGCAGCACTCTAAAGTCTGTATCAGTGGGGCAGCACTCTAAAGTCTGTATCAGTGGGGCAGCACTCTAAAGTCTGTATCAGTGGGGCAGCACTCTAAAGTCTGTATCAGTGGGGCAGCACTCTAAAGTCTGTATCAGTGGGGCAGCACTCTAAAGTCTGTATCAGTGGGGCAGCACTCTAAAGTCTGTATCAGTGGGGCAGCACTCTAAAGTCTGTATCAGTGGGGCAGCACTCTAAAGTCTGTATCAGTGGGGCAGCACTCTAAAGTCTGTATCAGTGGGGCAGCACTCTAAAGTCTGTATCAGTGGGGCAGCACTCTAAAGTCTGTATCAGTGGGGCAGCACTCTAAAGTCTGTATCAGTGGGGCAGCACTCTAAAGTCTGTATCAGTGGGGCAGCACTCTAAAGTCTGTATCAGTGGGGCAGCACTCTAAAGTCTGTATCAGTGGGGCAGCACTCTAAAGTCTGTATCAGTGGGGCAGCACTCTAAAGTCTGTATCAGTGGGGCAGCACTCTAAAGTCTGTATCAGTGGGGCAGCACTCTAAAGTCTGTATCAGTGGGGCAGCACTCTAAAGTCTGTATCAGTGGGGCAGCACTCTAAAGTCTGTATCAGTGGGGCAGCACTCTAAAGTCTGTATCAGTGGGGCAGCACTCTAAAGTCTGTATCAGTGGGGCAGCACTCTAAAGTCTGTATCAGTCGGGCAGCACTCTAAAGTCTGTATCAGTGGGGCAGCACTCTAAAGTCGGTATCAGTGGGGCAGCACTCTAAAGTCTGTATCAGTGGGGAAGCACTCTAAAGTCGGTATCAGTGGGGAAGCACTCTAAAGTCTGTATCAGATCCGCACTATTGCAAGGAGGCAAGTACGGTATTATACCGCATATATGACCTTGGCTGTTGACAAGACGTTATTTTTCCATAAAGTAGTGTTCCGATCGTACAACACCATGGATATCTTTTTTAAACTTTAACTGCACTATATGTAAATATAGGTATTGAATCCCGTTGTATTGATGTTTCTAGGGTTAATCTCGATGGTTCTTGAGAAAAATTAACATGAATTGCTTTATTAATTAACTTTATCTCGTGACTCACCGAGGTGTATATCCCTTAATCCTCGACACAACAAAATGCAATCCTTAAAAAGAGTTTCGATGAAATTCTTCGTTGAATATGAGGACCAGAGTAGCAGGGTTATCAGAGTTATATGTATAGTATTTGTCTGAAGTCGCAGACAGTATACGTTTATGTTCCGTGTAATGTTGGTGTATTCACCTGCACCAACCTCAATATGGAACGCCATAGCTGTTACATATGACATAAAAATACTATATGAGTTGATATTTTCATTATATTATATGATTGTATCAATATATGATTTGATTTTATCATTATATTATTCGATCTTATCATTATTTTATTAGATTTCATCATTATGTTATTTGATTTTATCATTATATTATTTGATATCATCATTCTGTTATTTGATTTCATCATTATGTGATTTGATTTTATCATTATATTATATGATGTCATCATTATACTATTCGATTTCATCATTATATTATTTTATAAAGTATGTTTATGGCGTTCCATAAACCTCAACGTTATGGGAAATCATGTGTGGTTTGGCTGAAATATTGATTACGCATTTTGAAGTGCCGCAAGTATTACCTATGTAAACAATAACAAGGAAGTAGAAAACAACACAAAAGTCGCGTCAACAATATTACTTGTGTACAAACCGGTTTCACGTGTTTACAGACAGTAAAACAAAATAGAGATAAAAGTCCCTATCTTTAATGTTTAAAAAATATTTATTATTATTAGAAATTAATTTGTTAATATCAGTAGATAATTTGTGAAAATTTGAAATGATATTCTAAAATATTTTATATATCAATCAGAACGTTTTACTATAAAAAACCTACCGTGTTTTTAATATAAACATAATTCGTTTTCTTTTCTAATATTAGAAGCTTATTTTCGATATCGCACAACGAATTTCTAATACTCGGAAATTAATTTTGACATTTGCTTATTATTAATAGATCAATTTGATTTTTTATCAAAAACATATTTTCTAATATTAAACCCGAGCCTAAACTCTCCATCTGACGAAAGATCGCGTTGATTCCTCGTGCGTGGGGCCCTTACGTAGATCGATGTATTTTCAACAATACATGTGTGTTATGTTAATTTCAAAATAGCAATTTTTACCTCCCATTTGTATTGCCTTTGTAAGTAAGAGAGCAGATAAAAATTATTAGCGGATTGTGTCACAAGGTACACCCAATATAAAGTAGATATATAGTAGATGTGTGTGTTAAGTGTTAAGTGTTAATTTACATTGTCTTGTGTTATTCCACGTTCTAGTACGTCTATCTTCATGCAGAAGGGAGTTTCTGGCATTGTAATGAAGAAACTAGAGGTTTATGCCATAAATAAAGTATAAACTCGCCACGATGGCATTTGTTGTCTAATGGATAATTCAGAAGAGGTCGTTCGGATTTTCAAGATCACGAGTATCGCAAACCAAATATATTCAAACGTCCCTGCAGGTAGGGCGTAGGAATTGCACCTGCTGCCCGATTGCATGATCGTAAGAGGCGACTAAATTTGGGACCTTATCTCTTCTCTTCTTTCTAAACACATTTGTTCTTCGTAATGTCTCCCTTGACAATGCCTCACTTTTGGCCTTTAGTTGAGCGTTCGCCCCTGTGAGGAGGCTTTGGGTTCTGTCCCCTGGCCGAGACATACCAGAGTCTGTAAAATTGGTAGTTTCTACTCCTGCTTAACGCTCAACAATTTAGGAGTGGGATAACTGGTTCGCCCGTTGTCAGTATAATGTGACCGAGTGGGATGTCCAGCTGGGTGTCTTCGGCAGTATATTTCAGTGAGGTAGCACTATAAAGTCGGCATCAGTTCCGCGCTATCACAAGGAGACAAACACGAACATCACAGCCTCCCAAAATACACACTCATACACTACACGCATGCATCTTGCACACAGGGGAGGCCGTCCTTAAATGACCATAGCTGTTGATAAGACGTTAAACAATACTAAACCAAACCAAACCTTTACAATGACATGCAATGTAGTAATTTATGTTTATGTTATTTATACGCATAGGATGTGTTAGCAACAATACAGAATGACGCACTGTTATAGGACTATCAATAGGTTATCATGTAATACGTGAAGTTTACACATTACATCACAATTCGTGATAAGGATAAAGATGGCTCCCCTGAACATTTGACTGTTTGTTTTATTATGTTCGTTTTGTGTTTTACGTCCTATGAACGACTTTAGTCATTTAAGGACGTGCCAGGTTTTGGTGGTGGAAGAAAACCGCAGTGACAGGAGAAGAACCACTAATATACGGCCAGTATCTGGCGACTACCCAACCTAGGCATCGAACCCGCGACTCAGTGGTCCAGACTAGTGATCGTAGACGGTCAGCACCTTAACCACTCGGTCAGCGTGGCCTCGAACAATTGACCACACGTTAATACTAACATTGCCGTACATGTGCTAGTTGAACATTTGAAATCAAGGTAAACTAAAACACAATCCACAGTCAACCCTGCTGATACGTGTTGGTTGAAAATTTGATAATAATATTAACTAAAAAACAAAAATATATAGTCAAACCTGCTCTGGTGTTGGTTGAAAATTTGAAATCAACATTGACCAGAAAACAATCAGACCTGTTCATTTGTCATGTGAGACTTGCTCGTGCGCCCTAAATAGTCATTTCATTTTAATCTGAACCTGTGTTAAGAAAAACACCCTTTTAAAGTTTGACTGTTTGGTAAATAACACTAGCACGCAATACTTACGGATACAGTGGGGTTGAGGGGGATCCCATTTTCCGCCTATACAACGAATGGTCCCCGTGTCATTAAGGATCAAGGTAACAAAATCGTTACATGTCAGCTTGACCACCGTGCCGTTGGATCGGTCATCGACGTCAGCGTCCATCGCAAACGCGTTATGTTTTGTAACAATCAATGACTTCTTAGTGAGGTTTATTAACTCCGGGCAATCTGCATTTGCAACAGCTGAAAATAGAAAAGATTCGAGTTTTCTTGAATTATGACTTAGTTTCGTAATGAGTAAAATGTTTGTAAAAGGAAGCTGCAACGAACGAAAGAAAGAGCCGAAGTGTTACAACCTGCACGCTCTTTCTCTACCTTCTACTCTCTTTCCGGCGATATCTCCCAAAGCACCGTCTTTATAAGACCCTGACTTATGCGAGGACTTTAACCCCAGTGAAAAACAGAAAACAGCCTGTTGTTGTCGTTATGACCCAGTTCTACACCCTCTAGAAGAATACACCCATCCCACACCGGAATAACGGGGAGAACATAGAAGTCCCAAATGTTGCTTGGTAATATATATATACATATGTTTCTTTACTGGGGACGGAAGAGAAATTACCGAAGTAATGATATACTGTGTATCGGCAAATGTTCACCGCAGTTTAAATTTCACCCTTTTCGCCCTCTCCAAAGGGGGCGAATTTATCATGACATGAAATATTAGTAACCGACATAAAATACATTGTAATTACATGTGAAGGGCGAAATTAACACTGGGCGAACATGGGTTTTATCGACAGAGGGTGAATATTTGTGTGGGCGGTATACAGTATATATCTTTTGTTGGTCTTATGAAAAGTAATTATTCGTTAAGACTCACCTGCATCATATATTGGTAGAATAAAGTTGAGTAGCACAATAGACCTCAGAATCAAGATGGCTGCCATCCCTGCCGTATACATCCTAGGTAATACATACAAATGTACAATAGAGTCTAATCTACCAGTCTACACGAGACTGATCACCAATAGTTGGCATCTATTCACTGGCTCGTGTGGGCTGTTCGGAAAAAAATATGCTTCATTTTAATTTTTAAACTTCGTATAAACTTTTCTATGATGTATGTATTTGGTTACACGCTGTGATATATTTTGCCATTGCTGACGTGCCGGTTGGTCTGTATGTGTTGACACTGTGATATACATGTAAATTGTGTTTGTATATTTCGTATTTGTTTATTGACGCTGTGGAATATTTTGTCATTATGTGTTAGTACTGTGATATATTTATCATTGTGTATTAGTACTGTGATATATTTATCATTGTGTGTTAGTACTGTGATATATTTATTAGTGTGTTAGTACTGTGATATATTTATCATTGTGTATTAGTACTGCGATATATTTATTAGTGTGTTAGTACTGTGATATATTTATCATTGTGTATTAGTACTG